CCCCCCTTCCCCCTCCCCCCTTTGGTCACATCAAATTCCCACCAGCAACGTCCCAAAAGTGATCTTTCTCCCCCCCCCCCGCCTTCTTTCCATCCCCGACGCTTCTCTCCTGTCACATCCATCCTCCCACATCCATCTTCAACGAGCCATCCCCCGCCGCGCAGCTGTCGATCAGAACAGTTGCATGCTCCCATCAAAGAAACCACATACCAAAGAACATCCCATGAGAATATCGAACCAAATGATCTCCCACATCGCTCAGACCCAAGCCACGCTTTAATCGCCCACGGCGTCGTGCGAGGGAGCGCCAGACGACTTCAACATCGCTCCTTCATCGAGTCCGCTCAACTGTGCTTTTGGAAGCCACTGTCCAGTCGTTGTCAACCGTCGACGTTCACTCTCCTTTTCTCGATCGCATTCATCGTCGAGCGCCAAAGAATCAACACGGAAAAGAAGCTCACCAGCCACCCTTACCGAAATGCCTGCTAGTGTCGCCGTTCTGCCACCGGCAGTCCCCGCAGCCCCGGCTTCTCGAAAGACTTCGCTTGCGCCGGAACGCAAGTACAAATGCCAGGTATGTTCATTTTGTCGAATCCCAACGAAGGGCGTGACCTCGCCATACTGACACGCTGCACAGTTTTGCGCTCGCGCTTTCAGTCGATCTGAGCACCGAAGCCGCCATGAACGATCTCGTGAGTTGCCTCCGACCCCCGTCTTCTCTTGAGTCGAGCCCTCTCCCTTCCACAAGGCCACGCAGTCCGTCGACCGCTGCCTTTCTCGTACACTCCCCCTCGTGGATGTGTCGAAATGATATGACTGACTTGTTCGTGCCACAGACACCAAGGAACGCCCCTTCAAGTGCATGAAGTGCCGCAGTACCTTCGTCAGGCGTGACCTTCTTCTTCGACATGACCGAACCGTGCATGCTCGCGATGCGTCAGGACCTCCACTTCACAGTGACTCGAAGCGCAGGAAGCCGCGTGGTGGCCCTGCCAAATCCCCGATAGCCATCGATACGTCCGCTCTCGAACAAATCGAAGCCACCAGTGATGGTATTTTCGATGTTGAGACGGCTGCCATGCTGGTGGCCGACCTTCACCATAAGGCCACGGCTGCCATGCGCAACGGAAGCTATGATGGAAACTCGCCAACGCCGTATTCCCCTCGCGGATCCGCCCTGTTGGAGCCCTCAGTGACATACCCCTCCGGCGCGATTGCGTTGCCTCAGTGGGACTCTTTCATGCCTCAGTCCGCTGCCGAGTCCAAAGCTCACTCCATCACGTCTTCCACGTCGGGCTCTTTCGAGTCCCAACAGTCGTTCACCACGTCGAGCACAATGCAGCCCCACATCAACCAATTGCCTCCACTCAACGGTCAAACTTGCAATGGTTTGGTGCCGGCGCTGCAGTCCATGATCAGCTCGTTGCCCAATTCGACTGTGGGTACGCCCGTGACGCACAGCTCGCACATGCACGAAAACGCTGCGTTCCAGACCCCGCAAGTAACCAACGACGATGCCCGCAATCTGATTCTCGACAACATCAGGGCCATGGATTCGGAGCACGCCATTCCTGACGGCTTCCGCCTTCCCAGCTTGGCGTCACTGAACCGGTATCTGTCGACGTACTTCGGCCTCTTCCACCACCACCTGCCTTTTCTTCACCCGGCCTCCTTCGACCCCACTTGTGTGTCTCCGGCGCTGCTTCTTGCTGTTCTGAGCATTGGCGCCCTCTACGCCTTCGATCAAGATCAGGCCTACATGCTACACATTGGCTCCAAGGTCCTCGTCAGCCAGTTCCTCCAGAACAAGGAAAACTTCAGCTCGAGGAAGTGCCCCCTCTGGACCATGCAGGGCTCATTGGTCAACATGATCTTTGCCAGCTGGAGTGGCGATCCCAAGGGCTTGGAGTGGGCTTGCTCGATCAAGAGTCTGCTCGCCAACATGGTGGCCGGAAACCGGTACGAACTCAAGCTTCGGCAGGAAGCCCGTGGAGGCGCCCAGCCCAGTCGTGCCGAATGGGTTGAAGACGAAGGTTGCCGTCGTACATACTACGCTGTCTACATCTTCTTCGGTCTGCTGACGCTCTCCTACAACCACACTCCCGCCATCAGCTTCAACGAGTTTGAGGATCTTCACTTGCCTTCTTCAGAGGGCCTCTGGAACCTCAAGGTAGCAGACGATACCACGTGGGCCGAGCAAATGAAGAGTTTGCCTGTTGTGACTTTCATGGAGGCGCATGACAATCTGTTCCAGGGAGAGACACTCAGGTACAGCGCGTTTGCAAGCCGTGTCATGATCAACGCGCTCTTTCTCGAAGTTTGGTACCACAAGCGTAGCCCGGAAGCTTTGCAGGACGTGGTGACAGAGTACAAGCTGCGCCTCGCTCTGGAGACGTGGGAGAAGTCCCTCGAACTCTGTGAGCCGGAGACGTCGGCTGTACCCCTCAGCGCCCCTCACAAGGGACACCCTCTCATCTTCAATGCGAAGGCTCTGTACCGCAATGCACGAGCTCGTCTCGAGGTGGACCTCAAGGCTGTGCAGGAAGCCCTTCGCTACCACGACTCGTACGAAGTTGCAGCTGCCATGTCCAACGCTCGTGATCGTGTGAAGAGATCAAGCGAGATGATCAAGGTTATCCAGGAGTGTTACAACTGTATTGAGATTGCTGTGGTGCAGGGTGTGCGGTGGGTTGCGCGGACGTCGCCGACGAACTGGAGTGTTGAGCATGCGCTCTGCGGTCTCGATCTCATGATCATCCTCTCTCTGTGGCTTTACCGTCTGGAACATGACGAGGAACCTGCCACAGAGGAGGAATTGGCCATGTACAACAAGGTTAGACTCCTCTTCGACAAGGACCTCGATGAGGCCTACGCCACACAGCTCAGTTCTGTCGTGGCCAGGCTTTGGGGCTCCATGCTCGACGAGGTAGTCGTATGGGGGTAAGTTGCCTCGACTGTCTTCTGATGACCCGTTGGCTAACGTATTTTACCAGAATCACCCGACTCATGGGCGAATCATTCCGCCATCACGCGCAGGCGCTCGTCGGATACGTCGACGATATGGAGGCGTCCTCAAACGTATCAACCCCGTCAATGATTTCTCAGGGGGCTGATGAGGATAGCGTGTATTAGTTCGAAAGAGACGACTGAAACGATTTCCTTTGTTTTCTTAAGGGTTTGCACGGGGGTGGTCTCCGTTTTCCTTGGCATCATATACCTCTTGGTTTACATCAGGCGTTACGGGACCCGAGGGCTCATACCAGCGCCGCCGTCCAGCCTTCGCGCTGCGAAAGTGGGAGGGTGCTGACGGCGCGGGGCTGCAGGCTTTGCGTGTTCCGCATACGCTGCGTTGCATTTTGGTTTCCTTGATTTTTTCCGTTCCCTTTTCCTTGGACTCTTTCCTTCGCAATCGGGTCTGGCCTCGGATCAAGGGCAATAATGGGCTGGATGACTTTGGTGGCGGCTCACCACGGCTTGCGATGTGCTGGAAAGGAAGGGGATACTCGCACACGCAAGCTTTGGAGCGGTCCTCCTCGTGTTGGCTGGTCCAGAACTGGTCTCGCTGTAACGGACCCTGCGTTTCGCCTTTCGTTGTCGAACAGGTTGATTTTGACCGACGGCACATAACTATCTCCTAATCACTCAGGCTGCGATGTCGCGTCGATTCTTTTCCTCACCCTCGGTACCTTCTCTTCTTCACTTGACTGCGTTTCCTTATCCTTTTGCTCATCGTATCATTCTTTGTCTGTTGCATTTCATGTCGTCTTGCTTGCTCTTCCCTTTTTTATTTCCTGCTTCGTTTCGCCCCTGACTTTTCAGATACCTTGTTCGATATACAGATTGCACCTGTTGATTCCCTTGGAGGGATGGGGTTCTGATGGAAGCTGAAAGGCAGCAATGGGTTGGGCTAAGGTGGATTTTTTTGCGAACAGCACGACATCTCTCCTGATCCAGACAGGCGGGTTAATGGTGGCAAGGGTCGGGACTGGGATGGCGAGCTGTGCGCAAGCATGTGTACCTATAGAAAGGCCCACTTGGAGTTTTCGTTGTGCATCTCGTTCCAAGCTTTTTTCTTTTCCTTTCGAAGTCAATATCACATCTCTTCCAACATCAATGCTCGCAAGATATCGGTCAGGATGCGGTGAGCTGTTGTGTGTGCGACAGCATAACTGGGTGCTTCAGCAGATCTTTCCATCTGGAGAAACCGCTTGTCGTGTAGGCATCCATCTAGCAAGGTTGCCATCCTAAGAACCCGAAGTATCGTCCGTCTCGCCGAGAGAGGCATTGTGTCTCCGTGGTGGGTAGATTGACAAGCTAACGTCGTAAGGGCGCGGTGAGCAGATTTCTTTGGCAGCGAGTGTGCATTGACATCTCGAGGACGTTGAAAGCCACTCGGCGATGTAGACTAGGCCACACAGAAGTACCTCGTTAGGCTCGGGACTCCGCGCATCTCCATGACTGATGATGATGATGCGGAGCTCATCCCTGTTTCCAGCGACCCACACTCCCCGCAGCATGACGATGCGGGGAATAGAGGCGGCGCCAGCTCTAAGTGAAGCAAGATTCTCATAACTACCAGGACTACCTAGGTACCTTGCTTCATAGCTCCGCGATGCAACTTTGTTACCACATGTCTACTCCGCCGCCATGACGCGACCCACGCTGGACATTGTGCTTAGGAACAACACAACGTCTGACAAGGCATATGCGCACATCACGGGCCTAGACTTGAACAAGGGCAATGCCGTCTTTATAATCCGCGCCGATGGGCATTCGGCCTACTACCCAGCCTCTCCCAAGGATATCTTGAAGCCGCTGGAAGCAGACTGCAACATCCCTCTCGGGCCCAGGGGGTCATCCACCAAAGTCACGATCCCCCAAATCGCTGGCGGTCGCATTTGGTTTTCGCTTGAAGGGCCTCTGACATTCCTGCTGAACCCAGGACCGGCTGTTGTCGAACCCTCAGCCACAAACCCCACTGATCCCAACTACAACCTGAACTGGGGGTTCTGCGAGCTCACCTACAACGCTGCGCAGCTGTACGTCAACATTTCCTACGTTGACTTTGTCAGCCTGCCTATCGCGCTGCAGCTCGAGACCGATGACGGCAAGGTCACTACCGTGCCAGGCTTCCCCGCCAACGCCCTCGACGCCGTCTGTGACGCACTCGTTGCGCAGGACACCAACGACCAGGCCGGCTGGTCACGTCTTGTCGTGCGCGCGGCGGATGGAACGGCAAACCTGCGCGCCCTGAGCCCCAACTCGGCCATGGTCATGAACCCAGATCTCCTCAACACGTACTTCCAGTCCCACGTTGACAGCGTGTGGAAGAAGTATCGCGACAACGACCTCGTCGTGCACACACAGGCTGAGTGGGGCGACGTCAAGGGGCGCGTAGGTGGCGACGACAAGCTGACCTTTGAGGGCATCGGCTCCTTCGCCCGCCCGTCCACCCGCGACATCTTCGGCTGCAGTTCGGGGCCGTTTGCTGGTTACCCCGCCGACAAGGCTGCTGCCATGGGCAACATCGGGGCACGCCTGGCGGCTGCTTTGAATCGATCGACGTTGCTGTCCAACGGTCGCCAGCCTGAAGGTGAAAAGGTTGAGGCCTATTATCAGGAGGCTGAGACGAACCACTATTCGCGAATCTGCCACGAGGTGAGCCTCGAGGGGCGGGGTTACGCCTTTCCATATGACGATGTGGGCCCCGCCAATGGCCATGATCAGTCTGGGTGTTTGTTCGACTCGAATCCCAAGGTCCTCACGGTCACAGTGGGTGGAGCGTAGTGATGCGGATGTCAGATGTATTGACTCGAAATGCGAATGTGTCCTTTACCGTGCCAGTTTGTGCGTGTGCTGCTCTATTCAACATGCTGTGCGCGACGTTGATATGCCATGTTCGGTCCAAAAACGCAAGCTCACGCATGTGTGGCCATCTTCAAAACTGTCTGGCATGGAAGCAGTGTCAGCCACCCAATAGTTCAGACTGCCTTAATGCCAGCCCGCATGTATCACGGTCGAGGACCTGATGGTTATGATTCTCGTGCTCCGTTGCAGCGCACAAGGCTGCCACGCTCCACTGGTTTCCTGCATATACACGGCATGCTCCAACATTGTCCTTCACGCGAATCTCCGAAGGTGACCACGGAGCTCGAGTATAGACGAGGTTTCGGCTGGCGATCATTAAGCTTCCGCCCCCGCAACTTCTTGAGCCAAAAGCAGCCCCAGGGCTGATTTGCCGTCAAATGAATGCACTTGCGAAGGCCAGCCAAACAGACTGGCACGGCGCCATGTCAGAGCGCAGACCAGACGAGAACAACCCACACCGGCAGGATCATGGCGACGTTCTGGCCACTCGCCGCCAACGTTGAGTATCAGCGCGGCCAAGTAAGCGTGTGGCTTCTTTCACCAATTATCGAAATTGCCAAAGCCGCCACTCTTTGCCTTCTTCTTCGGCGGCTCGTTCCATGTGTCCAGGTTGTCCCCTACCACTTCCTCGCTGGGCTGTTGTGAGGACAAATACTTCCCTACGCCGCCTCCAATGGTTTCGCCGGCAGAAGTGCCATCCGCGCGGAGTCTCTTGCCCGTCCACGTGGTACGGTCGTCTTCCGTGCCACCACTTAGCTTGATGGCCTCCTTGGCCTTGTCGGCCTTTTCGCGCTCGAGCTTTTGCTTCTGGAATTCATCAAAGGGATCCACATAAACCACGACGTTCTTCATGACAATGTCGTCGATAGGACGGTCGGAGCTATCTGTAGCCACATTCTCAATCTTGGAGAGGACATCCAGTCCTCCGACGACCTTGCCGAAGATAGTGTGCTTGCGGTCCAAATGCTTAGCAGCGCGGTAAAGAATGAAGAACTGACTCGAGTTCGTGTTCTTGCCCTTGTTGGCCATGCTCAGCAAGCCGCGCGCTTCGTGTGTCAGAGGGCCCTCGAATTCGTCCGGAAAGTTCTTGCCCCAGATGCTTGTGCCACCTTTGCCCGTCCCTGTGGGGTCTCCGCCCTGAATCATAAAGTTGCGGATGTTGCGGTGGAATGCTACTCCGTTGTAGTAGCCCTTCTGAGCGAGCTTGATAAAGTTCCATACAGCACGAGGAGCGAATTCTGGGAACAGCTCAATATTGAGCTCGCCAAGGTTTGTTTCGATACGAACGTAGCCCGAAGTCTTGATACGCTTCGGCTTGAGCATGTATTCCTCGTCCGATATGAGTGCGCGCTCGCCGCTCGTCTCCGGAGTCAGTCCCGTGCTGGTGAAACTGGCGGCGGCACGTCCTGTGGTGTAGACGGCAGCGTTCGGAGCCTGCTTCTTGTCGTTGATCATCGACGTCCTCGGCGCGACGGCCGCAGATTTGACCAGGGCACCGCCGGCCGCCGTCCGGTTCACATCGCCACCGGCCTCGCGTTCCTTGCGGGCTTTTTCCACGGCCAGTTTCGCCCTGAGAACCTTGTCGCCGATACGGCCTAGAGCATCGACGTTGACGTTGCCGTTCTTGCGCTCCTCCTCCTGCTCCTTAGTCAAGAGAGCCTCTTGGCCGTCGTTCAGATATTTGAATTGGCTAAGGTCGCGGCTCGCGGCGTTTTGTGGGTCTTGAAGCGTGATGATGTCGGCGCGAGTGAAGTCCTCGTCGTCCACAAGATCCTTCCAGTTCTTCGCCTTGATGTTCATCTTCTGCACCGTATCCCACGCAAAGACATTGGCGTAGGCGCCATGACGAATGGCAACGATGTGTGTATTGTCGGTGAAGACTTTGTACGAGACAGGATCGATGAGATCGCCGCGGCCGTCGCTGAATCCAGGCGTGCGCGAGTCGGTCTCGGCGTTGCGAGCAAAGTTGAGCTTGATGAGGTCCTTGGCGCTCAGCGGCTCGCCATCCACGGGGTTTGTCTTGTGTTTCTGTAGCCACGAGTCGATGACCTCCACGTCGAATATGGTGCCGCTCCTGGTGCACACGGGGTTCTTGAAGGGCTGGAGGCTGGCGGCGCAGAAATTGAAAGGCAGTCGGCGAAAGGAAGCACCACCGGAGCGCGACTTGGCGCCGGCGGAAGCCGAGTAGTTGTCGCCGCTGGACCACTCGCTGTGGGTGATGTAAAGTTTGTCGGTGCCTTTGCCCATTGTCACTTGCTGGGAGTCTCGCGAGAGCTCGATAGGATGCTGTTGTTGAGTACCGAGCGAACCTCTGGCCGGGGCTCAGATGGGCCCAGTGATCGCTGTTGAGGAACTGGTAGACTTTACTGTGGGACCTCGAGCGTCCCGCGTCATACCAAGGGCGGCTCCAAGCACGCGCCTAGTGGATCACCTAGCCTGATCCCAGGTACCTAGGTAGGTAAGCCTGATCCCAGGTAGGTAGGTGCCTGCCTAGGTATACCTACCTACCTTCCTACGGTACCCAGGCTTGCTAGGTACATTAGGTGTCCTCGACCTCCACTTGGCTTTGAAGTAAGGTGGGAGCACTCTCTTTCGCGGGAGCCTTGTCGCAACTCATCTTCGACCACACCCATCCCTTCCGACACACGGTTTTGAACGCGGCATCTCCCAACCGGAACACTCCACTCATCACAGCTTAAGCAATCAGACAACCATTGAAGAGTTAGCGGCACATCTCGGATATCTCTTTGATTCCCAGCAGTGTCCCCATCAACGCCGACAGGCGCCAGCCCAACTTCGAGGCATGCGCTTCACTGTTTCAAGCATTCGATCAACCCAAACAAGCTGTCTGTAGCTTCCTAGCTTTTGATACAACCCGAGGCCGCAGCATCTTCGTCGCGACTCGACGCCGCCCAGCTTCGCCATGAAGTCATGGATGTCCGGCCTCGTCATGGGCCTGTGCCTATGGACGGCCCATGCCATGGAAGTCAAGATAGTATGTGAAATGCCCAACCCGGCCCGCTGGTGCTCCCACATCCAGAAACATGTACTCTATGCAGATCCTGACTTCATCTCCCTCGTAGGATCAGACAGACGAGAATCGACAACGATGCGCCGGAATGTACAGCCGCAAGGCCTGGGGAGGACCGGTCGACCCCTATATCAACATATTGTTTCCCGCTGTTCAGACCGACAAGGACGCTGTCGTGAGCGTCGTCGTTTTCGAGTGGAAGGACGAAGACCTCATTGGAATTCGTGAGAACCCCGAGTCGCTCAAAGTAAGCCTTTCTTCTGGCATATATATGTTCGTTGTGTTCGGCATGATCTGACCTCGATATCAGAAAATCGGCATTTGCGAAGACAAGTGGGCAAAGAAGGGATACTGCAACGTGACTGATATAGGAGAGTTCATCCTGGCTGAAGGCGCCACCGAAAAGTCCAAGAACCTGATCCAGACATACGCTGTCAACCTCAAGGATCCCGGCAAACCTACAAAGTACATGATCTCTCAGACAGGCTACTACTGCGTCTTGACCGATCGCTTTACCGCGCAGAATTACGAGGCCGTTGTCGAGTTCCGCAACGCTTATGGCGAGCTTCCAGCCACCCAGATACCTAAGCTGCCTTTCTACGGAGGTGTCACTATCCTCTACGCCCTAGTCGCAGTGTTCTGGGGTTTCCTTTACTACCAACACCGACATGATATCTGTAAGGACCATGCGAATGATAGTTTGTGTTAGGGACCCATGCTAACAGTGTCAAGTGCCTGTGCAAAACTACATCACTGCAATTCTGATCTTCCTGGTCGTCGAAATGTTGATGACGTGGGGCTTCTATGGTATGCTCTGCCTCACCTTATCCTGGAGCAATGTCCACTGACGCGCTTCAGACTATCTCAACCGGAACGGCTCAAACATCGGCTCCAAGGTTCTCCTCGTATTGGTGGCCATACTGAATGCCTTCCGAAACTCGTTTTCCTTCTTCCTGCTCCTCATTGTCTGTATGGGATACGGTGTGGTCAAGCACACGCTTGGCCGGACCATGATCTGGGTGCGCTGGCTAGCTATCGCGCACTTTGTCTTTGGCCTCGTTTATGCAGTCACCAGCCTGCTTGTTACTCCGGACGAAGCTGGTAAGTCGTTACTGGAAATATCTTGCTCGAGCCGACTGCTAATCTTAACAAGGCATCTTCGTTCTATTGATTGTCCTTCCCCTAGCGAGCACGCTCACTGCGTTTTACGTGTGGACCTTGAACTCTCTGAACTTTACGCTTAAGGATCTCAGGGAGCGCAAGCAGCACACTAAAGAAGCCATGTACAAGAAGCTCTGGTGGTGCATTCTCATCAGCATTTTTGTTATTTTCGGCTTCTTCTTCTTCAACAGCTTCTCATTCGCCTCGGTCAATGATCCGGACTATGTGCCTTTCCACTGGAAGTCTCGGTGGTTCATTCTCGACGGCTGGCTTAACTTGGTCTACTTTGCCGACGTTGCGTGGATCGCATACGTCTGGCGGCCTACTGCCAACAACCGCCGCTTCGCCATGAGTGACGAGATTGCTCAGGACGACGACGGCACTTTCACCATGGCAGATATTGGAGCGCCCGATGACTCGGACGACGAGGAGGCCCAGCTTGACAAGGATACCAACCCGCGGCAGACACTGCAGGAGCAGCTGTACACCCAGCCTGGCTCAACAACGCGTGCCGGTCAAGCGGGCGCATCCGCCAGTGCCTCTACAGCACCGGCACAAAGGAACCTGCCTAGAGAGTCCCTTGACGGTGAGACCATCTTCGCCGTTGGTGAGGATGGTGACAGATTCTCGGATGACTCGGACGAAGAGAATGTGAAGCTAGTTCATTCTGGAAAATGAGGGGGAGGCGGGGGTTAAACATTTCTTTGGCCACGCTACATCATGTATGAATAGGGGTTGCACCACAGCGGCGCCAATAACGAATTGATTACAATAGAGAGCACCAACATGCTCATGTGGGCAGATCTTGATCCTATGTCTCCCTTCTCATAATCATACACACTGTACACTGATTAAATCAAGGTTATACATCGCCACCGAACCCGACCGGCCGTCTCTGCCCATCGTTCTCCGGTAATATGGCCATGACCTTGTAGACCTTGCCCATACCCCCAGGGCCCCTATCAACCAGCCTGCGCCATGACTTCTCGATATCCTCGGCCCTCTCTTTCGGCAGGCCAGCCCGCTTGCTCAGCATCTCTGCCCTCTCTTTGATGCCCATCTGGCCGAGGAAGGCCGCCTGCTCGACCGGGCCATGCACCTCGACACCGTCACTCGCCTTGGTAACAGCCTCAGCGAGGGCAGCAAAGTCTACATCAGCGCTAAGATCGACGAGCCCAGGCTCGGTGAAGGGGTTAACACGACGGTGGCGACGAATTCCGCGCAACGAGTTGATCGGTATCGTGTCCTCGGTGCCGTAATCAAGAATCAGGGCAGCCCCGGCGGGTCGCTTTCTCGGCGCCTCGGCGGTGCCGCCAATGCGGGCGGCAAGGTCACCGGCGAACATGCTCGCGTCGGGACAGACCTCGATCACGGAGCCCGGTACAGACTTCAGAGCTCGGTAGCGCTGGGATGACTCAGGTACGTAAAGGGCATGCTTCGTCGGGGCCGGGGAGAGGGTGAGCTGGAACTCTGGTACCATATCTTTCTGTTCAGACGTGGGTGTGTTGAGCGTTGCGTGGGTCGCATCCGGGGGTGTGGGCGAAACCACAAGCTCGCGCCATTCGAAGGCAGAAAGGGGGCTAGCCTCCACGACGGAAGGCTCTGTTTGGGTTGGTGAGTTTGGCGGATTTGAGGTTGGCATCCGAGGAGGTGTGGGAGGAGGCGCCTTCTTTGCGCTCTGGAAGGCATGAATGGGCAAAGCGTCGAAGAATTCGTGCGCCACCATGAGGGGCATCTTGTCCGGGCCTTCCGGGATGGCCTTGACGACTCCGGTCCAAATGATGGGGATGTTGCCGTACTTGGATATGCTGTGATGGCCAATCTTGGACTCGGTCATGGGCGCATCTGGTCCGCACAGGAGGTTCTTCTGCGCCTCCCGCAGTGTTGGGCTTGCTTCCACCATGTAGATGGCATCAATGCTATTGGCGAACTCCTTGAAGTTTTGGACTGTCCTGAGTATGTCGTCCATCAGGGTTCCTCGGCCTGGTCCCAGTTCGATCAACTCGACGCCCTTCTTCGGCTTGCCCTGGCTCATCCACTCTGTGACGAACCAGATGCCCACAAGCTCGCCAAATATCTGTGAGATCTCCGGCGACGTAACAAAGTCACCCTTCGTTCCGAACTGATCTCTTCCTTGTTCAATCAGGCCGGTGTAGTAGCCTCCAATGTCACCCGTCATGCACATGCGCATATAACTGGCCAAGGGAACGGGACCGGTGATCTAGAGTCCCAACTTAGCATTGAAAACAGGAGTAAGGGGCGCCAGTGGGGTATGCACACCGAAATTGCATCCGCAAGTTGTTTCGCCAGTGGCGTTGTCCATTTCCTGTCTTCGCTTTCGCTCTGGCGACGGCATGCGCTGCAAGACAAGTTCCGTGTAGCTTGCGACAGACGGAGAGTTTGCGGTCGTAGAGCACATCGTGAGGCCCGTAAAATGGACTGAGGCGCAAACAAAATTCTGGTAGCCATGCTGACGCCAGTGGTCTAGGCGCTCGAAAGACCACCCTAATAACAGAACGAGTAGATGACTGGAGGAGGAGAAGCTCTTCGGTCTGGCTGCGTCCACGCAAAACCATCAAGATCAGCGGCTTGAGCTCCCACGATGCGATAAGATAAGCGATTGGCCCAAGCCGGGCAGGGGATTCGTCCATCCACCAGCCTCGCAAGATACAATACCAAAAAGCTCATTGTACTGTCTGCGAATCCAAACCCCTAAGCTCACGCGACACTCTTCCGATATTGCAACTGTAATTCCGACAACTCAGAGGATCTGCATCATGGCCGGCAGGTGGGCCGACACGGAAGAAGATGCCGCCTTCGAAGCAAAGCGCAAGCAAGAGAAGGAAGAGAAGAAGCGCCTGAAGGCGCAAAAGGCTGAGCAGCAACGCAAAATTGAAGCAGAGCGCCAGACACAGGAAGCAGCATTACAGGCGCCAGGCGCAGAAGAACACGACCGGCCTTCGAAGAGGCGTAAAACTACCCCAGAACACAACACAGCCGACAGAGACACCCAGGGAAACGCTAAGCTACTACGGTTCCCTTTGCGCTCGTGGGGGAAGTGTCGCAGCGTTGAACATTACGACAAGCTCAACGACATTGAAGAGGGTACTTATGGATGGGTCTCCAGGGCCAAAGACACTGCCACTGGCAAGGTTGTCGCGCTGAAGAGGCTGAAGCTTGAGCCGACAGACCACAACGGACTGCCAGTAACTGGGCTTCGCGAGATTCAAATATTGAGGGATTGTCAACACAGAAATATTGTGAATCTCGAAGAGGTTGTGGTGGGTGACGACACGTCGAAAATAGAGCAGTATGTGCCTTTCACCCTCATCAGACGGTCTGAAGAGTGCCCAGCTAACCGTAATCTGGAACAGCATATTCTTGGTCCTTGAGTTCGTCGAACATGACCTCAAGAGTATCCTTGAGGAGATGCCCGAGCCGTTCCTCCTCTCCGAAGTCAAACGCCTGCTCCTCCAGCTCACTTCAGGCATTGCCTACCTCCACGAGAACTGGATACTACACCGCGACCTCAAGACTTCCAATTTGCTCCTCAACAACCGCGGACAGCTCAAGATAGCCGACTTTGGCATGGCACGTTACGTTGGCGACCCGGCGCCCAAGCTGACGCAGCTTGTCGTGACCCTCTGGTACCGCGCCCCTGAGCTCCTCCTCGGCGCTAAGACCTACGACTGGTCTGTCGACATGTGGAGCGTTGGCTGCATAATGGGCGAGATGCTCACGCGCGAGCCCCTCCTTCAAGGCAGCAACGAGGTAGACCAGGTGACCAAGATTTTCGAGCTCTGCGGTGTGCCGACGCAAGAGTCTTGGCCTACGTTCCGCAGCCTCCCCAACGCCCGTACACTGCGTTTGCCCAAGACGTCGCTCGTCACAGGGTCCATCATTCGTGCCAAGTTCACTTCGCTAACGAACGCCGGCTGCGGCCTGTTAAACGATTTGCTCGCCCTTGACCCAGACAAGCGACCTTCGGCCAAGGACATGCTGCAACACAAGTACTTCAGCGAGGACCCCAAACCCAAGCAAGAGAGCATGTTCCCAACCTTCCCTAGCAAGGCCGGTCAAGAACGGAGGAGGCGTCATGAACCCCATGCTCCGGGTCGCGGACAGCAAGCGGCAGATCTTAAAGAGGCCGACTTCAGTGGCATCTTCCAGGGGCGAGACAGAGAAGAACGCGGTGGTGGGTTTCAATTACGCATGGTGTGAGACGTAGAGAGAGAGAGAGAGAGAGGCATGTGCAGTTGAGCAAAGAGTCGAAATGATATCTACGCCGACATTATATCCATTACCCAGTATGATTGATGATGATCAAGATCAACCCCGTGAAGACCAAACCTGTGTGGCCAACGCCGCCCGAAAAAAGCCACCAGTCCCAACCAATCCCAGCCGTTCGATTTGCGTGCATCGTTTGACAAGACGACCATGAACCAAACAGTTGTCCAAATTGCAGAGCAAAGCGCGAGAAGAAGCAGCAGGCACTCCATTTAAAAAATGGTACCTGACACGAACCAGGTGAAACTTGCTACTGTCGCAACACTCATGGTCAGAGCGAAACCAACGGCCTTGGAGTCAAATGCAGGAACACCAGCGTTACATGTCGGACAGGTCCAACCATCCTTTAGATCTTCGTAGCTGTTGGGTAGGTAAATGTCGAAAGTGAAGCCGTCATACGGGGCCAGGTAACCGGGTCGGGGAGTGGCCTCGGGGCCCTCGTCAGAGTCGTAGACGACGAGAGTATATTTTCCGTTCGAAAGAGCCATCTCGGCACCGGCTGTAGCGTACTGCTCGGTCTCCCAGACAACGTTGTTGCCCATGGTTGAGTAGGTCATATTCTGCGTAACAGTCCAGACGTTGTTGCCCAAGGCCATGCTGATGAGCACATCGACAGCAGTCGGCTCGGCCTGGACATTAGTGTAGTTCCATCCCAGCGTGATGTCATTGCCAGCCTTGTAAAGCTTGAGCGCCGGGTCGGTGGGGGCAGGGGTCGTCATCTGAATACCGCCGGCAGCCGCGAGGTCGTCGATCGAGGTCGTCCTTGTTGACGACCTAGTGTTCGTTCCTGTCGGGATCTCGGCCGTGTTCAAGCTACCGCCCCTGCGGCCAGTGGTCGTAGCAGTCTCCTCCTCGGTGCCAGAGCCGGTGGTGCGGGCTGAGCCCGTCGTTCGAGGCGCCTGGGTTGTCTCGGCGGCCGAGGCTTCTGCAGAAGCTATGAGGAATTGTCAGCGTTTCCGTTGCGTGCGAACATATGTACCATGGCTGTACATACCAGAGGCGGCAGCCGTAGTTCTCTCATCGTCGTTCTGACGGACGACGAGGGCGTCAATCTCAGGGAGCCACTGAGGCCAGGCAGAGGCCAAGGGCGTCAGTGCTGCAAGGCAGACGGCGAGAGACTTGGCAGCCTTCATTGTGATTTTTGTTCCGATGAATCCAACGCTTTCGGCAAAGAAGTTTTTCGGTTCTCTCTTATCAACAAGACGAGCGAATGGGCTCTCGCAGTCTCTTGGGCGTCCACGGGCGGGGATCTGCTCGTCCAGGTACTAGTGTTTGAAGGCGTGTTTTGGTCGGGCCCCTTTTCAGCCAACGAGAGCGAGTGGCAGCGATCAAGTCGCGAAGGGTATTAAAACAAAATGATATTGGAGGAGTGAAGTTGAAAGAAGAAGAAGAAGAAGAAGAAGAAGAAGAAGGCGAACGATTGTGAGAAGCGAGTGTCACAAGGCAATGCTGCTTGTAGAGGAGAGGTGATTGTGTCGGGGAGGATGGCGAGAGAGAGGAGGCGCGGCTTGCACGCAGGTTGAGCAGACAAAATGCTGAGGTGATGTGGTGACCCAACGGGGCTTCTGGCACGGGTTGAGACTTTTCGGGTACAGGGGGTGGATGATGTTGCAGTGCCACCACAGCCACAGCTCGTAATCAAGCATCCAGCCAGCGGCATGATCTGATCGTCGCCTGGGTGACCCTGGCTAGCCTTGCTTTTCGGCATCGTCTTACTATATCGAGACTAGCGCCCTCCACTGCATCGTATTCTGTCCTGCTGTGTCTTGATTTTTGGCCCCCTCATTATACCTCTTGGATGTACTTGTACCAAGGGCGGCGAGTCGTTGGTGCCGACAAGTATGGAGCTCCTTGTGCCGAGCGAATGCAATGCCTTGCTATGCCCGTGGGGAGTTTCGCTATTAATAGGGCCTTCCGCCTGCCCGTCACCGAGACGCTGTGTGACGGTGTCAATGTGCCCAACCTCGAATGGACGACTCCGTCCATGTGTCAGCATATTGATTGTGATCCATCTCTTTTCCAGCATGCAACTGCTCACTGGTCTCGTTTCCTCTTTTTTAGACGCCGTAGTATGCTTGCTTTTGTCCAAGGTTATGTCTCTCTTGTGGAGGCCAATAAATAATCAGAGTCCTTCGGCCATTCTATGAAACCACATTGCTTTCAATCAATCTTACAGCGTTGCTTGCTTTTCCGGCATGGACAGCTTTCGAGCACACCGAATGTGCACTTTTCTATCATCAACCCGTCTGCCTGACCACCGGATCATCATCAACACAAGGACAAGAGGGTGAAATGCTGTAATGGGAGAAACAGGGTTTGGATCGCACGTTTGATCCTCATTATATTGCTACGTGTATCATTGACGGGCCTGGATGCTAATTATCTAAGGTGTCGCTGAACTAAGCAAAATCACAACACAGAACTCCTTCATCAACCGCTATTGTAAAGCCACACAAGTTGGTCCCTTAGGGTTGCGAGGCAAAAGTATCGGTTTCGTCCGTGTCTTCGCTACTCAGGCCACCAGGATCCAAAATGTGGAATCGATTGGCCATGGCAGTAAGTTCCACCTTTGACCAAGCAGCAGCAGCACGAGCTTGGGTCTTCGAAACAACGAGGCTCTCGAGCGGCGCTGTACATCCATCGGCATCCCACTCAACCTTCGAACCCTTGTATTTGCTGCGGCATAGTCAGCATCGAGCGAACTAGCTTGCATGTTCCATGTTCTCCTGTTGCACAACTCACTATCGACTCATCATGCAGGTGCGTGCGAACATGGCATTATACACTGAATTGGTCTGAATGAAACAGCTCCCAGCTTCAAAAGAAATTCGGATGATGACAAGGTTGTGTATGTGCTCCAGGTCATCACGTATGCTCTCTGCTGTGACTTCGGGGCTGCAGCGTCGCACAATCAAGTTGCGGGTCGCTCCACTGCCGATTTTGTGGCTAACGTGGCCTGGTAGAACACATTGTCGGTCGCTCCATTTGATGTTCACCTACTCAATGTCAATTTGCCGGGATCACGCCACGCATACTCTCTGTTGTCTCTTTCTTTGAGCCACAACTTACCCTCTTTTGTCGGATGTACAGGTCATGTCGACGGACATGATTGTAGAAGGCTTGGGCGCTTTCCGCATGTAAGAAGGAGATCTGAGCCGACCGATCATGAGTTTTGATGAGCACTTCGAGCAGCATGCCACCTCGAACGACATCGGTGATATCGGCATGTGTTGTGGTCTCTGCCAGATCATATAGCACAACCGTGCGTATTGCCGTTTTTGCGTACTGCGCGTGGCGAGGCCGCCTAGTTACGGCGTCATTGGGGGGTGTTATCTCTTCAAGTGCTGGTTCCGGAACCACAGTTTCAGTCTTGTGTCCATCATTCATGGTGCGAGGGGGGTCGCCTGTAGTCCCCGCCCTCGAGAATGCATCCACCAACGGTCGGGGTTTTCCAGATGGCCTCTGAGTTTTACAGTGGTTTCCCTTGGCATGGGAATCACCACGTCGACCAGGGGCATTGAGATCATGGTCTTGAGGGGATCGATGATCATAACCATCATGAGTGTCGGACGATGCAGCATCAGCTTTGGGCTTCAATGTCTCGTCTTGGCGCAATGACTCTTCACTGCTCAAGAGCTTTAATATGAGTGGTGTTAGTATTGTCCAGTGGTGTGCACTATTTTCATAGCCAACTCACATCGAGGGTGGCTTGGGTAGCACCGCCATTGATGAGATTAGAGCACAGATTGGCTTGTATTTTAAATCTGTTAGTGACGAGTACACGGACTCATGATAACACTACAGAAACGCTGTTACACACCATAGTGGCGAGCGACAGCCTTCAGATCGTCGTACTCGGGCTTTAGTACCAGTATTGTGCCGTCATTGATGGACGTTGAAGCTAAGTCGGAGGGTAAAAGAGACGCGGACGGCTGGTTCTTTAGCACCCTGAGGTCAGCTGAAGCTTTGTGGAACACAAGGGTTGTACGCCTACGAAGTTGCACCTATGAAGGACAGACCTTATTAGCGGACACATCCCAATGGACAAGGTAGAAGCGGGCCGAAAACCTAAGTACTGTGGGGAATACAAAGAGGAGTGGATGGTACTCTATTTACCAGGGTAAGGTGAGATAACATACCTGCGGATCAATGTGTCGAAGTACGCACGACTAATCGTGACAGTTGCTGAAGACTCCATAGCCATCATACGTTCCCTACAAACGGATGGTCAACTGAATGAATGATGGAGTTCAATGCCGTGTTGCGTCGCGAGAATACCTAGACTGGGATGAGAAGAAGTGTGGTTCTAGACTCCACACTTTTTAACCTTCTAAGGCATGTGCAGAAGCTGAAAGTAGGAGAAGACCCTGGCCACGCCGAAGCAAATTCCTGTTTTACGCCCGATTCGGGATTATGGCAGGTGCCATTTGGATAGCAAGTGGGGCTTCGCGTGGAGGCTCTTGTTAGGCTCGTGCAATGTACCTTCCCGAGAACCTAAACAAACGGCATGCTGGCTTTCCAAAATTGAGACGGTGCTCTCGATCACCACCGCCAACTCAGCTTCACAGTGGAATTCTTACGAATAAAGACAAACTCTAACGTCAGCTGTACGACTTGCTATGCCACACATGCTAAAGCATGGGAGGTCATGTTCTTCCTTACCCGGAAACCCGATTTGCCATCTCACCATGGTCCGCTGAGCGGGAATTGCTTCTATTTTCCGCCCAGTCCCTAAATCCATGTGCCCTGCCCCCCTTATTCTTCTCCTTCGTTCCCTTGATGAAACAAAGCCGATGTTCCTATGATTGCCGTCGACCCCTTGCCCGTTCCATGACCTCCCATCCACACCCACCCAAATGTCCAGCGTCTACATGCCATCGCTCCATGTTGTGCGCTGGGATGATGCCTTGTCAACAACAAGTCTCCTAGTTACTTGGTGTTATTGGTTGCTGAAGCCAAGTAGCTAAGTAGGAAGTTTCGGTCGGCTGGCGAAATGGGCGTCTGGCTACCCCGTCGAGATTCGGCCACATCGTCCTGAGCGATCTGCCCTAATAATGGCAGTCCTCTGCTAGCTGCAGACCCTGACCTCGATGTAGTTTCTGGTGCAGCTGAGTCCGGAACTCTACCCGCAGCCTCTGTTGTAGTAGGAGCAACAGGTGGAGGTTTGCCAAAAAGTGAAAGCAGCTTATTTCTCTGTTCATGGGACATGGATTCCTTTCTCTGCAAGGCCACAGGCGTAGGAAGTGATGATGTCGCTGGCGGACTGGCGAGGCTTGTAGGTTTGTCTTGTCCAATGGCCCTGTGCGCTGCATCGACAGACACTTGACGCGGTGCTGTTGTTTGCCCCAAGACCTCAGGACGTCTCAGGATTGTGAAAGGGGGTGTTGGAGTAGCTCCCTTGTTCGGCTGCATGCGACTGAGGTTTGAGGGTTCTGCCAGGTTAGGTTGATGTGCCGCTGAACCCTGTTCGGCCTGCTGCATAATCGGCTGAGAGGACAACGGGTTAAGTTCGACGCCAGAATGTCCAGATCCATGTGTGTGCTTTGAGCCGACCGTGGCTATCTTGGGCGCCTCTGAGCCTTGATTTGCGCGCGCCACCCCTGTGGTGGGAGCGTTGTCTCCCTCAGGCTTTTTAAACATTTGCAGTAGCGCAGACCTATGCTCCTCAGTGCCTGTAGTGCTGCGACCAGGACCATTCTGGGCCGAAACATGGGCCGAACGAGGCGCTTCCTGTTGCCAGAAGGCCGGCGAAGACTGGTATTGCGCGGACTGCACATTGCTGCCCGGTTGATGTCCTTGTTGCTGCCCGGTTTCGTTCGTAACGATGTGTGGTTGTTGGCAGTTGCCCCCTGGTGCTGGATTAGGAGATTTAGATCCGGACTTGAGGACACCTAGCAATGCCATAGAGTGGTTGGTGAGTTGAGTAGGTGGTGGTTTCGGAATTGGCATATAATTCTGGGTAAATTGTGCAAGCCCCTCTGGACGCGAATATCCTTGCGGACGAATCTCGTGCCGAGTCGGCCCATCCACGCCTGTCGGATACTCGGTTGAGGGGCTAGGATTGCCATACGTCGCTCGTGGTGAAGCAGCATGGAGGCGCTGGTGAGGCTGCTGGAAGCGGCCTTGTACAGGAACACCCTGGGCGAACTGCTGATGATGGGAAGAATATTGGACCGGCACATTTGCTTCCAGTGGAAACTGAGGGGGCGGCTGGTAGCTCGAGAGAGGAGCCCGGGGTTGTGGATGGTGTTGGTGATGCAGCCTAGTTGTCTGGATTGAAGCATTCTCGATGTAATCGATCGGGGTATGTGGCACCTGAATTTGCGGACCACTGTTTTGGACTTGGCTATTTGCCTGCAGAACTGCGAGAAGAGATGCACCCTTGTCCCAGTTGACATCGGACATGGATGGCATTTGAAGGCCTTGCGTGTTTGGTTGAACCTTGAGCAACCTTTGAAGCTCTTTGGTCGCACCTTCAAGGGTATCTAGAGCAGGAGTGTGCTCAACCACGGCTGCCGTTGGCTTATTTTGCACCCAAGCATCGTCTTCAGTAACAGGCTCATCGTAGAGATTCTGAGGCTGAAAGTGAACCTGTTGGGTGTTCTTCGCATTGTCTCGTTTCTTCTGTTGCACCACCCACTTCTTCAGAGGGACGAGGAAAGGAGCAACCATATAGAACTTGTTTGCGTTCGCGGCGGCGGCGGAAGCCGCGGCATCATTTTGATTGTTGCCTTTCTTCCGAAAGGCGGGGAGTTCAGAAAGATTGTACCAAGAGATTTTGCTGATCTCCTTCCTGGTACGTGGCGCGAAATGGGTATCCATGGGGACATCCCGAAATACGTAAAGCCTCATCTGCTGCTCCCTCATGGTTATCTCGATATGCTTAACATCCCGATTGGGAGGAACCAAGCCGGCAGCATGGAGATCGTATCCCGTTTCTTCATAGACCTCTCGGATGGCGCATTCCAAATCGTCCTCATCCTTGTTGATCTTGCCACGTGGAAAACTCCAATTGGCGCCCTTCTTCCAACCTTTGACGAGAACAGTAGAGTCCATGTCCTCATTGAGAAGAATTGCTCCGCGTACGGGCACTCGTGTTTTGTACTGTAGAAACTCTTCAAATGCGCGAGTGTGGTTCTCTACCGAGAATGGCGCAAGGAGAGGGCAGTGTTGGAAGATCCTCAAACTGAAGTTTCGGAGGGTCATGGAAGGTAGGGTTGGGTCGAGCGGACGGACGAAGTCCTCGTAAAACCATTGAGCTTCCTCAATTTGAAAGCATATCCGTGCTACGGAGGAGAGGTCCTCCTCGGGGAGGTTAATAATGAACCGGACGCACAGGTCATCCAGCCCTATACACCTGTCAGTAAGAGCAACATAAAGAAGCTCCTGTTGGACTTACAATCTTCTAGCTGCATCTTGTAGGCGGCCATGCTGGAAGCGATGTCAGGCTCATATCCGAGCCAAAGTCTTTGGGGTAGAGTTGATCCGATGATGGCGAGACCGCTTAGGATTTTCGTGTGTTCTTCCGTAAAGAGATATCTAGCTGTAGTTGCATGGTAGTTGGCAAGCGGGAATGACGTGTTTGGCAGCGACCTGATCGAGGAGTACGTTGCGACAGTTGAAGCGCAAAACACCACGTCCAGGCACGGGCAGTTTCGTCGCACACGGGTCGGAAGCTCGACAGGGGCGAATAACAGTGCAGGTGGAACCGCTTTGGGCAGCTTGAGAAAACGGCAATCGTAGGATGCACCAAATCTGTCACAGCGAATGACGTATCGTGATGGACCTCGTTGTCGACGTGATGTGGTGGATGAGAAAGCGAGCAGAATACGCAACCAGACAAGAGCCCGTGGGGCTGGACTGGGCTGTAGCTCGGCTGGATCTGGGACCCAAGGTACCTAGATAGGAGCTATCAATACAGTGTTCTTGGAGGCCATGGTCAGCTCATACAGGCCCCGGTCCTTATTGGCGGAAGAGGCGGATCACAGTATCGCCTAAGGTAGGTACCTAAGTAGGTGCTATACCTAGCCACATCAATGTGGCTGTGTCTCATCACTCTGTGGCGAGGCCTCCCGCTTAGCCTTTGTCATCCGCTCGAGTGTTACCGGATCATGGGTAGATTTGGCTGTCGCCAGGTGCGAACGGCCTGACGCAGATGGCATGACATCACTATCGCGGTCAAAGCCAGCACTCAAAACAGGAATCACCACTAACTACGTGGCTGACCAGGGAGTAACTCATACAAAAGCAAATGCCCAGCCTCTGTGGTGCAGTATCGTTAAAGGGACGTTACACCCTTTCTTCAACTTGACATTGTTTACTCGCTCATCGCACGCTCAATCATACTGAGCCGCACCCCACGGACAACCTCAATCGACCACAGAACTTGGCGTGGAGTCTCGAAGGGTCGTGCCAGCTGACACCCTACGCGCCGCATAAGACACTGCCCCAAGCCCGCAGCCTGCAGGGAGGGTCCAACCCATTCATGCTGTTGAGTGGCGTTTCGAATCGCAATACATAAGGAGACGTTCGTCACCTCCAGCCGCTTGGCTTTCATCGCGCCCGCCCCCGTATTCGAGAGAGCGGAAGTTTCCAACGTCCAAATTTGCTATCATGGCTAGCTTCATCGTAAAGTTCATTACGAAGAAGATTCTCAAGGAGAGGGTGCAAAACAATTTCGGCACTGAGGTTTGCTGCTCCACTACTCAATCCGTTGGCTCCAATGACTAACGATGACTTAGGACCCTTACTTTGAGACCGTTCCAGCAACGCGCTTAGATGGCAAGCCTACGGACAAGGTCAAGAAGCGGCCCAAGGCTCTACCACCTGGCGTGTCCAAGCACGATGGCAAGGTGCTTACCAAGGTGAAGAGAAGAGCTTGGCGGCTGGATATGTGCTTGTTCAGTCTTTGCGGTGTACGCTTCGGTTGGGGCAGTGCCATCGGCCTTATTCCTGCGTATGTGCTCTTCTGGAATTCCCGAATGACAAGGCTAACCTTTTGCGTTTAGCATCGGCGACGCCATTGACGCGTTGATGGCTCTCATGGTTTTCCGCACCTGCTGTAAGGTCGAGGGTGGCTTACCTCAGGGTGTGAAGACAAAGATGATATTCAACATCATTGTCGACTTTGCCCTCGGCCTGGTACCATTTGTTGGCGACATGTTCGATGCCGCCTTCCGATGCAACACGAAGAACGCGGTTCTCCTCGAATCATATCTGAGGGAGAAGGGCAGGAAGAACCTCAGACAGAGTGGTGTCCCAATTCCGGAAATAGATCCCAGCGACAGTGTCATCTTTGACCAACGAAGAAGGGATGATCCCGACTCTGACGGCTCTGTTCATGTGGACCGCCAACCCCAGCGCAACGGCACCATGTCGTCACGGCCTGATGGTACTCGACGTCATGATCGCACTGCGGAGCCGACAGTCCCGGCGAATGCCAAGGTCCGTGATACCGGCCGTTCGGGCTGGTTCAATTTCGGTCGAGGCAGGGCGACGGATCTTGAGGCCGGCGGTGACAATACTGCTGACAGATCTACGGTGCCGACGCGTCACCAGTCCAACAACGAACGCCGTAGGGAAATCTGAAAGAAAGGCAGTGGTTGAATTGCGACAGCCAATGGGTATGATGGTATGAATTGGGTTCAAATGTGGCGTTGGTCGGTAACGCAACTCAGAACAAAGGTTGCAGGTCATGTCACCAACGCGTTGGTCTCTCAGCTGGGTCTGTCGGCACGCTTTCGTATTATACAATTGTGACTATGTTTTCTCTTGGACTACACGATTTCCTTCGTGTGTTGATAACTCACCAAAACAGAGCTCGAATAACTTATTTTGTTCAAGCGACATGACCAATGTTATGGTGCAGTTCTTCTGCTCGGTCCCGATACGCCGACGAAGGGCGTCATACCGAACTGGCGAGGGAGTTGCTCGGCCGAAGACGACGCATCGGGATTCACTTTTCACGGGCTATTACATCAGCTCTTTGACTGCTTACATGATGATCTACACAAAAAACTACAAGGAGACGTGACCAGGTCGTGCCTGGTTGCCTCGAAGGTGTCTCGCGTGCGTGTGCACCTCGGACCTTATCAGATCTTCATCCTGGTCGACATAGACCAGGCACCCCCGCCCCACCATGACGGAATGTGGATTGAGCTGGCCTGGAAACATACCCTGCCTACAACTCAACCATTTGGGTTGGCTTCGCCCCTTGCGCAGATTGGAATAACACAAAGCACGCGGGAACTGGTGAAGAGTAGGAGGGGAACGGAATGACCCAATTCCAGAAAGAGCCAACTCCTGTCGAAGACGAGTCCATGCAAAGGTTGCGAAATGCCAGTCCATGTCAGAACCAGGTCTGGGCAGCTCTGTGAGACGCTCTTTACGCGTCGAGCATGGAAACCTCCCCTCCCCCCTTCCTCCCTGACTTCGGTTGGCCGGGGTCCCGCCATGGACCCAAGCGCGTTGGCTGGACAGAACACGGGGTGGGTCGTACAGGGATTAAAACACGCCCAAGGGGGGCTGGAGTGGGACTGGTGCACCCAAAAACACGCTCAGAACGCGTCTCGACCACACGTGATGGCGTACCACTTTGTTCTACAAAAAGGCCGGACGCCTGGACAGCACCATTTGGCTCCCACTCTGCAACTCCTCACACCCTCACAACGTTTTGGAACAACAACTCTACGGTGAATTGACATATTCGAGCAACGTCAATTCGTCATTATCGTTTCCAATCCTTCTCTGGTTCACTGCCAAACACACCTGTCACAATGTCTGTCGAGATTACTCCCTCGAAGCAGGTACGCCGCGCCATCATGATCCCATCCGCCTTGGAGAGAAAAGGCAAAGCTGACAATCCTTCGACAGGCTGCTTCCGCCATTGAGTCGTTCAACATCGAGTCGCCTGTCAAGAAGCTTGACTTCAACACCGCCAACAAGGAGAACCACGCCGGTTCCGAGGTGGACTCCCTTGTAAAGCCTATGGACGAGCAGGCCAAGCCCATTGCCATCGAGGCAAAGAGGGAAGAAGGCGACAAGGCAGTCGTGGCTCCGGGAATCAAGGACTTTGAAGCCGATGAGCCGCTGCTGAGGGAGAACGGCCAGCGTTTCGTCTTGTTCCCCATCAAGTATCACGAGGTACGTGCACGACGCGTTTTGACGCGTAAAGTGGCTTGAGTGTCGCGTTTTGTACTGACATGTCCACCAGATTTGGCAAATGTACAAGAAGGCAGAGGCTTCCTTCTGGACCGCCGAAGAGATTGATCTATCTAAGGATCTCCACGACTGGAACAACAAGATCAATGATGATGAAAAGTACTTCATCTCACACATCCTTGCCTTCTTTGCCGCTTCAGATGGCATTGTCAACGAGAACCTCGTTGAGCGCTTCAGTGCCGAGGTCCAGGTTCCTGAGGCTCGATGCTTCTACGGCTTCCAGATTATGATGGAGAACATCCACTCCGAGACTTACTCGCTGCTCATTGACACCTACATCAAGGAGCCTGCCCAGAGGACCTATCTCTTCAATGCCATCGATACCAGTAAGTCGCAACCTATGATATATACCTGCAACATCAAGCTTACATTGCCTTTAACAGTTCCCTGCATTCGCAAGAAGGCTGACTGGGCCTTGACATGGATCACCGATAAGAAGTCTACCTTTGCCACCCGCCTCGTCGCTTTCGCGGTCGTTGAGGGTATCTTCTTCAGCGGTGCCTTCGCCTCCATCTTCTGGCTCAAGAAGCGAGGCCTCATGCCTGGCCTGACTTTCTCCAACGAGCTCATCTCTCGTGACGAGGGTCTTCACACCGACTTCGCTTGTCTGCTGTTCTCTCACTTGAACAACCGCCCCAGCAAGCAGACTGTCCAAGACATTGTCACCGATGCTGTCACTATCGAGCAGGAGTTCCTGACTGAGGCTCTTCCCTGTGGTCTGCTTGGCATGAACGCTACTCTCATGAAGCAGTACATTGAGTTCGTTGCAGACCGCCTCCTCGTCGCCCTCGGCAACGAGAAGGTTTATAAGGCTACCAACCCATTCGACTTCATGGAGAACATTTCTCTTGGCGGCAAGACCAACTTCTTCGAGAAGCGTGTCGCTGATTACCAGAAGGCTGGTGTCATGGGCAGCACTACCAAGAAGGAAGAGGAAGCGACCGAGGGTAAGGGCGAGAACGGCGGAGACTTCTCCTTCGATGATGACTTTTAAGTCAACCCCCCTCGTCTCTTTTGCGTCTTTTCTCTTGATACCCTTGTATTATCTACAACAGATCGGTACATGTCACGACGTCCGTGTACTCCTTGATGGAGCGCGGATGTCCCAGCGCATACACGGAGCAAAGCGGCACGCGTCGCGGGCTGGAGGTCAATTCTCTCGTAGGGTTCGCCTGAGCTGAGCTCTCATTTCATATTTTGTCGGACATGAACGGCGTTGAGGGGCGGTTTTCGTTTGATGAGAAGAGCGGCAAGGAGCTCTCGTACTATTGGATGGAGGCAACGATTGGGAGGACATGATGACGCTCTTGAAGGAGCATATCTTAGGTTAGTGTTTGCAGACCATGTCTGATAATTGATTTATGAAAACAACTTTCCTCGAGAATGCTCCTTGTGCGACCAGACGATTTTCGGCAGCCGAGTGAGGCTATCTGCTGTTTTCGCATGACTTCCCAGCGATCTTGCACCCGCACACTAATGCACTCATTTCTTGCCCTTCTTCTTCTTGCCCGCACCCCCTTGTGCATGGCCTTGCTGCGACTGTTGTGCCTGCGCCGGTTGTCCTGATGCCACCTTGCCATCGGGCGCCTCCTCTTCCTTGCCAGCCGCGGCCGGCGCATCAACCATGTCCTCCTCGGCCGTCTCCGGCAGTGCGGCCATGCCGCGTCCCAGCCGACCGAGACTCAGAATAAGGCGTGAAACCTCGGCGGCCTTGTGGGTTCGGTAGCGTAGGGTGACGCCGCTCACGGGATCGAACGTCTTGAGAACGAGACGGCCGCGTGGCGGCTTGAGCGCTGGGGCATCGGGCATCGCAGCGTCGACACCCGCGCCTCCTGACGTCTTTGCGACGCTGGACTGGGCGGTCTTGATTGAGTAGGCTGTTGTGATGCGGGTCTGGGGTGGGGGAGCGCATTAGGGGTTAGCTCTGCTGCGTCGATGGAGTGGGAGGTTTGGGTTAAGATATTGTTCTGATAGGGAGCGGGCGCGGGCTGTCATACGGTTGATGGGCGGGCTTTGAGGAGCAGCGAGGACTGCTCAAGCCATTCTTGGCTGGTGTTGTAGGTCGGCATGATTGCGTGAGGGGTGCTTCCAATGGCGGGCTGTGGCGTAGCAGACAAGTGTCGCTTATGGCGTGGAGTACTCCGAAAATGCACGAGCAGCTTCGAGTAATGCGGTATGCTCGAGGCAGTCGGTTGAGTGGCGCACTGGGTTCTGGAGGAGAGCTTGGGTGGTGGGTGTCGTCTTTGGAGGTTGGCCGTGATGTTGGAAATTCGCTGTCGTGTGTTACTCGCCGCCGCGGGGCCAGTTTCTGGTCCCACCCAGGCCAGGTGCTCGACAGACGCCTTGGTGGCCCCTGTCGCTTCCTTCCAAACCTCTGGGGTAGGCGCCCCACTCTAGCTGGCGTCCACGGTTCTCAGCTTCATCGATCCGGAGGGGTTAAGAACACAAATACTTCCAAGTAGCATAGTAGCAACATAATCTGACGACGTTCTCTGACTTGGTCTGTATTCGAATGCATCCGAATCGTATAGTCCAGATTTATGGTGGCAGCAATGAATTTAATAACGGCGTGCAAACACAAGGTCATTCATTGTATATGATTGGCAGTGGTTACATGTGCATGGCAGGCATCGCCTCCAGACATCCTGCTGGGTATCTTCTTCCGTCGATCTATGTTATTCAATTCGTCCGTGCCCTCAGCACGACCAGGTCGTCACACACTCCCCTTGCGGCTTCAAGCATGGGGGTCCGGCACCCAGAACAAAACCTCCTGGTCTGCTGTGGCGAAGAAGTTGTACCGGGGATTCCAAGCAAGCACGGCCGCCTCGCGCTTGTCCTCCAGAACTGTTAAAGGATCTAGAACCTGCTCATCGGACGGCGTACCCTGCGTGTCCCATACCAAGACATCCTTCTTCGACCCGCTGAGCACGTACCGGCCGTCCACTGTGAATGAGCAGTCCCCGCTGCTTTCCGGGCTAGATCCTTCGTCTGCGCCAAAGCCTTCGGCCGACTCTCCCGCTGCCCGTCGCCTCGTTCCTCCCTCGGGCTTGCGCAGATATGCTTTTAGGTGACCATCAAATGCATCTAGCAAGAAGTGCCCGTTACCTCTTGTTCCTAGAAGGATGTGTTTTCCGTCGTTCGAAAACTCAAGTTTCGTCCAGCCTTTCATGGAGAAGTCCTTGTCGACAGAGCGGACAGCATCGACGACATCAAAAACTCCAAAGGGCGCCTTGTCAAAGTTACGGCAGTCATATAGGAGGACCGAGCCACTGGCTGGCGAAGCCACGCCAAAGACATTGCCCGAGGGGTCATAGGCGGCCAGAGTAGGTTGGTTGAGAAAGAGCTGACCACACCACTGCTTTGACTTGATATCCCAGAGGCGGACTGTGTCGTCCTTGGCGCAGGAAATGAAGTTGTCCGTGCCAGGGTGTACTGCTAGGCACGTCACGGCTTTCTCATGGCCCTCGAAGTAACGGATGAAGGAGTTGTCGTGGGTCGCGAGGTATCGGATCTGGTCTAGGTTGTCGTCATTAGCTTCAATCTTGACAGTTTCTTCTGTGGGAATGGCGTGTTTCTGCCTACCATTCTGCTTAGTACTGGCGTAGATGATGCTGGACGTTGTATGGGTGAACTTGGCTAGCTTGACGCCATATTTCTTGCTCAACAGGCTCTTCTCGTGCCTGCCCTCTCGAACATTGTAGATCTGGATCGTTTCGTCGCTTTCCGAGGTCATGAGAAGCTCGCCAGGGTCGTCAAAGTCAAGGGATAAGATGTGAGGAGTGGAACGGCCATCTTTGATGTCTTCTCTGCGGAACAGCTGCTATTGCGTCAATACGGAGCAAGTGAGTTTAGCGACATCAAAAGTAGGGCGCACCTTTGTCGGCCGGAAGCTTAAGATGACGTCGCTGACGCGAGATGTACTACTGGGCGTGTTTCGCGTGATGTTTAATGAGTTGCCGTTTGTCGAGGCGGCGTCGCGGTCCAAGTCCATCGGCGTGGAAGCCATCTTGGGTAGCTATGTAGGAGGGCACCTTCGTAGAGGACCAGAAAGTTGTCTGCGTTGCTCGAAGAGATTCGTGTGGTGTTCCTCGGGGCAAAGAATGGTCCGAAAGGGCGGCGTATGTTTGGGTCAGAGTCGATCGAAGCAAGTCGCAGGTGGCCTGGGCAGGGTCGCGTCTGTCAACGTGAACAGTTGGTGCTGGCTCTTGGGAGCAAGACGATGGAGGGGCAGCGTACTGTGCAGAATAGTGCAGCGTAGGAACGGTCCATCCATTCAGGCCAAAACAGCTTTCTGCTGGAGCTTGGTCTTGGGCCTTGGCATGTTTCCCAGCTTCTCAGTTTGCTACCCGGCAAAAGCCGCCCGTGTGGGGATCGAGGTGAGTGACCCCAGCGGTTGTAGGGATGGCAATGCAGGGACCGTCCATTGCTCATAACGCCTGAGCCTTGGGGTAGGAAGCGTGCACGCGCCCTCCGGATATCGGACTTGCTGAATGAGGTTGAAAATTATGTCGCTGTCCGGTGCCGCGTGGCAGCATTGGACAGAGCTATAGCAGCGCCTGTTACAAAGTCAAAAAGCCATTGAGTAAGCCAATTCCAATCAAGGTCAGCACAATTGTCAGCCTGCCACGTTGTCAATTGTTTGTCCCGAAAACCGCTCTGTGGAAAGCTGCTGCATGTGCTGGTGCATCTCACTCAGCAAGGTAGAGAGAGGTCCTTACACTCCTGAAGCTGCCCACTACTTGCCTAGGGGTACTATGCTAACCGCGACAAGCCGAGCCCGGCATTGCATCGCGACCTCAATCCGACTTTCGACTCACCAACCTTCGGCGCACGACCCTCGACCTACAAGCTCTCCTGCAGCATCGCCCAGCACCCTTTGACCTGTGCCAGAGTCGCTCCAGAAGAACCAGCATCCGATCAAGTCTGGTCTCGAAGCCTCCGGCGCCATGTCAACAACGCTGGGGTAATTCCTTCCCACGCTCCCCGTCCCTGGCTTTGCGCCGATGCTCTTCCCGGCCAGACCCAGCTGACTCTTTGTACAGCGCCTTCCTCGCTGGTGGCATCGCCGCCTGCGGTGCCGTCACAGCCACACACCCTTTCGAGACGGTCAAGATCCGGTGCGTCCCCGTTATGCGGATACGCATGTCTAGTATATTGAAGTCCTCGGCTGACCGTGACACGCGCCGAACAGGATGCAGCTTCAGGGCGAGCTCCAGGACAAAGGCCATCAACCACACAAGTACAGAGGACCCCTCCAGGGAGTGTCGGTCATCGTGCGGAATGAAGGCGTCAAGGGTATCTACAGGGGAATAGGGAGCGCATACATCTATCAAATCCTGCTCAACGGCTGCCGACTTGGTTTTTACGAGCCCATGCGTGGCACCCTGACCAAGCTCGTGTTTGATGACAGCAAGGTCCAGAGCCTGGGCGTCAACATGATTTGCGGTGCCGGCTCAGGTATCATCGGTGCCGCCATGGGCAGCCCGTTCTTTCTCGTCAAGACAAGACTGCAGAGCTTCTCGCCATTTCTACCCGTCGGCACCCAGCACAACTACAAGAACGCATGGAACGGCTTCACTTCCATCTACAAGGCCGAGGGTGGCCGTGGTCTCTACAGAGGCGTTGGCGCCGCCATGATCAGGACTGGCTTTGGCAGCTCTGTACAGCTCCCCACCTATTTCTTTGCCAAGAGGAGACTGGTCCGTCACTTCGGCATGGAGGAGGGGCCCGCTCTCCATCTCGCCAGCAGCACCGTCAGCGGCTTTGTTGTCTGCTGCGTCATGCATCCTCCAGGTCCGTCCTCTCTCTTTCTTGGTTTTTTGGTAGCTCCCGAGTTGCAATGCTAACTCACAGCCAGACACAATCATGTCTCGTCTTTACAACCAGAATGGAAACCTGTACAAGGGCGTCTTCGACTGCCTCCTCAAGACCATCCGGACCGAGGGCTTGTTCGCCATTTACAAGGGCTTTGTCCCGCATCTTGCTCGCATCCTGCCCCATACTATCCTGACATTGAGCTTGGCGGAGCAGACGAACAAGCTGGTCCGCGTTTTGGAAACCCGTATTTTGAGCCCGGTGGCGTTGGAAAGCCCATGAGGCTTCTTGGTTGGGATGTAACTGTGCCATACATATATAGAGGATAGGGATAGACAAACAAGGCGGTGGAGGTGTTGTGGGGTGTAAAAACGTGCGGACGGCCGCCACGAGGAAATCATCACTGGGTAGCGTCTGTGTCGAAAGGGGTGCATCTCGAAACCATGTACCTGTTAGCCATACTCGTCACTGCGAATATTACTTTTTTTTGACCTTTTTTTCATTCAGTACCCAGTAGCCCTCAACCGCGAAGGGACCTTTCGCAGCCGTAGCACAACTGGTTCGTGGTCCCCAGCGCCGCAGCGTCATCCACCGTCAGGCCTATCTCACCTTTCCAGCGCGCCTCTCCCAACTCATCCCTCGTCATGCCACACATGCCACAGGCGTCCCTGCCGGCAGGCTTCTCGAGCTTGCCTGTCGTGCGCACGACATTGGCGATGACATTAGGGTACTTGTCCTCGACCTCGGCAAAGTGCCGCGCCATGACGTCCTCGATGCTCAGCTCCTTATGCGAGACAACGCTGCCGCTGGCAACGCCGACGCCGGGGTCATCCGCCGTCAACCCGGCCATGGCCACATCGGCCATGCTGTTGTAGGCGACAATCTCCTTCCTCAGGATGTCACGCAAGGGGTAGTATACCGGAAATTCCCACTGCCGCCCCGCTACATTACGGCTGCCCGTCTCCGTCTCCATCTCAGTCTTGCCCGTCAGCGCCGCAAAACTGGTCAGAGGGAAGCTGCCGTCAGAGACAAGCCAGGGAATGGCGTATCCACGCCCCTTGGCGGTCTCAGACAGGGTCAGCTCGGCGAGGGCTGTGGTGTTGTAGCCCATCATGAGCGCTGTGCATCCCCTTTGTGCAGCAATGTGGAAAAGGAGATGACGAAGGAAGAGGCGGAGGACGTCGACGCGGGAGGTGACAGATGGGAGGCTCTCGAGTAGGTGGCGCAAAGCGGCGGTGGGCTCCACATCAGCTTTTAACCCAGGCAGAGCTGTCCAGTCTATGGTTTGGGCATCGAGAACAGCGCTGATGGGAACGGAGTCGATGCATATATCTGGGAACCGGTCACAGTATTTCTGCAGCAGGTTGGCTGAAGCTAGTTGTGAGGCGGGCGTGGATGGTGCCAGGTTGGTGTCGATGTGGACGACGTGGAGTTCATAGACATTGCGTGGATTCGCATCTTTGAGCCACCGTAGGTTGGCGTCCAAGACCTGTAGGAGGCCCGCGGAGGAGGAGCCGAATGAGAGGCCAAGTAGGTATCTTGGTGGCCGACCTGTTGAGGCGCGGAGTTCCTTCAGTGGTTGGCTCAGGCGCTTGACGACCTTCTGTGAGACATAGGCAGAGAAGCAGTTACTTCAGATGTTAGAATGGGGGTTTCAGTCGGAATCATTGTGGTCCGGAAGACATACTCGCAGAGAGAATCGAGTCTTACAAGGATGGTGGCGGGGTTCACCTTGCATCTCTTGCACGGCTTGTCCTGCTTGTCCCCCATCGTAGTTGCGCTTGGGCATCGATATCAATATTCCGGAGATGTCAATAACAAGATCAGGTACCCAGATTTGCAGGAGCCAGGTGAGAGACGTGGGGTGGTTGAGATTCAGGTGGTATGTGGTATGCTTTCTGTTGAAGATAATGATGAGTCAGGAGAATTTTCTGTGCATATTCTCCATGGCCAAGTGCTCTTTACAAGCTCAATCAATATATGGCAAACTACTTAGCCTCCCTATCTATGTTGTATGATCAATGCAATGCGTAGACTTAAATTCAGCACGTGCATCTTTTCCTCCACTCAATAATTCACCCAGCCAACACACCAACGTTGGCTCTCGCGAATGTATGAGTGGAATTACTGGCGAAGTCGATTTTTTTTTATTCTTTGCTTCTTCATGCACCAGCCAATGTGGGACGGAGAGTATGTCAGCGCTCCTAAGGATAAAGACACCGGGCCCAGAGCCTACAAGTCCAAGAAAGCAGAGCTCTCTCATCGTGTAAATTTCCAGCAAAGAGCCTACATAGGAACTGATCATGCGCTGTGGCGCACATGCATCTGACCCATGGTCGCTGAAGGCACTGATCTCGATTATTTTGTTTTCAGGTTGATCGATTGCTTGTAGACGAGGATTAAGCCCCACAGCCTGTTTTTACGCCCCGAGTTCACTGACCGCTCATTAAAAGGAGAATTGAACAAAACAAGCTTCTGGCTACAAGCTAATCGGAACAACACATCTCAGATCTGATGCAGCAGACCCCCCAGACTGGCGTAATAGGGCGACGAGAGAAGAGTTCAGGCAGTAGCGCAGAAGTGGAGGCGTGTCTACAGGCTGTTTCAGACGTCCAGCAAACACATGGGTGCGACAAGCACTGAGCAAGAGCCACCGCATGGACTGCTGTGAACTTAGGTACAGTGGGGAGACAAAAAAACGACGGATTGCCATTATGAGAAATACTGACTTAACTTTCAAAATATTATTATAAAATAGAGAAGATAGACATTAGTAATCTAAAAAATAGACGCTACAGATTTAGTAAGGTTCTATTAGACTTATTAGAATCACTATTTACAGTGATCTATAGGATAAGTAGTAGAGGTCAGAAAACTATATATTTTCGTGTGGAATCGGAAATCCGTCGTTTTTTTTTATCGCATGACTGTCAAGCTGGTGCCAAAAAAAGCCGCGTGGCGATTCCACCACCAATTCCATCACCACTAATTCTAGCTATAGAGGCCAAGGTAGACCTCCAAGCACATCCAGAAAGCGTCAATCACTGAATTGACTAAATACTACAGATGATGCGAGATATAATAGAAATAAAGGCCAGGATAATTGAATGATAGAAACTGGGAAGTACTTCTATTGATATAGGGGTCCCTAACTAATACAAGTACCTATCTTTTTCCCACGCGGCTCTTTTTGGCACCAGCCTGACTGTACCTTAGACACCTTGTCTTAGGATCCTGGTAGGTAGGTTGGCTGAGAGGCTATCACAGTGCGGACCATAGGCACCTTCACATCCATTCTACCTACCACCTGCCATGACGTCAAATACAGCATCCCAACATAAAGGTACCTAGGTACCTACGTACTACCTACCCCTCGTAGGTACCTTACTTTGGGTGCGGCACAGTGCAGCATTGTCTCCACTGATGGGCGATGCGACTAGAGCGGTCACCGTAATCCAGACCTTTCCAGCCCATCCTCATCTCTTTCCCTCTCCTCCAACCGACTGCTACCCACATGGACCCATCTGCCATTGTCGAGGCTGGATGAAACGAACTCTACTACTTGATTGCTGACCCTTGATTGTTGCCATCTCCCTGGTCTGTACCCGCCGTCTCATAATCGCATGAAGCAGATCTGCGCCTCCGCCCCTGGCCCCGCCCGACGGCCTCACCATCAGATGGCGCTTCAGTCTTGAAACCTGCGACACCTTCGTGCCAATCCTTGGAAAGCTTAGCACTCTGCACATGCCGCATCCTGACTGAGACACCCCTTGATCACCACGAATCCTGCGAGGAACCACTACAACTCGACGGATCGTCCTTCGGGACACACTCGAGCTTTCCCTTCGTTCTGTTTGTTGATTGTCATTGCACTTCTTGCTCCTTCTTGTCCATCCACCTGCCTCCCCAACAACACCGTCATCGCCCACTCTCCTGAGCGCTACTCGCCAGTGAGGTAACGCCCGTCAACAGCCGACGCCAATTCTTTTCCATGCATCGCTTTCACGACTCAGCAACTAATAGTGATTTCCGCTTTATCCAGACGAGACCAGGCTGGCACCCATTGGCTCAAATAATCCAGCCGTGAACGGCCTCATCACCATCCCCCTCGAGAGCTACCTCGCTTGACGCATGCATCACGGTCACCTACCATGGCTGCCGTATCACAGCAACTGCGCCCCGTGCTTCCCGAGCGAGGTACAACTATCGCCATACCAACCGCAGCACCTCCAGCGTTGATTTCGAGCGACGCCAATCAGACTCGTCTACGGAGCCGATCCATGCTTGACACTTATGCTTCTCCTGTCAACCAGAATGGCAGCTTCGAGTTTGATCGCGAGGTCAAAAGCGGCCATGTACAAAAGCGCACCCAAAAGACCAAGGTCAGTCTACCTCTGGCCCATATCGAATTACCGGACTTCCGCTAACGTACAGGCAGACCTGGAAATCCATCTACCTCGTTTTGCGACCCAATGCCCTTTCGCTGTACAAGACGGACAAAGAGGACAAGCTGAGACACAAGATCAACCTTTCCGACCTTACTGCCGTAGCCCTGCTCCGTGATCCAAAGCAAAAGCGAAAGCATGTCTTCGGCTGCTTCTCACCCGCCAAAAACTACCACTTCCAAGCGAAAGACGATAACGACGCCCAGCAATGGGTTGACCTAATACGGACGTATGCAAGGATTGACGAAGAAGAGGAAGAGTTGCTGCTGGCAAGTCCCGTCGCCCAACGAGGATCGTACCTCCCACCTATTTCGAATGGCAGCTACGCCGATCCGGCTTTGCGTGAAAGGGTGACATCCAGCTCTCCCGAGCCTTTGGACCCTCCTGCGCCTCGCTTTATTTCTACCGATAAACGTCGTCCGTCAAACATGTTGGACTCTTCGGGCTACTCTGGCAATGAATTGGCCTCTCATTCCGACTTTTCCGACACTGAAATGCAACGCCTTCGGGGCATGTCCATTGAGGATCTCGCTGGACAGTCCCCACAAGACAGCGGCGTCTTGTCAGACTCAGGCCTACCCGACAGACCACAGATGAAACACCGGAATTCAAGCCAGGTCAGCGGCCTCAACCTCGAGCACGACCCAGATCGTGTCATTTGGCAAGGCTGGCTGTGGTTCCTTCGCAACAAGGGAGGGGTAAGGCAATGGAAGAGGCAGTGGGCAGTGCTGCGGCCTCGAAACTTCATCCTCTACAAAGACGAGTCTGAGTACACTGCGCAGTTCCTTCGACCCATGTCAGCTATCGTCGACGTTGTGGACATCGACCCGGTCAGCAAGACCAAATGCCACTGTTTGCAGCTCATCACCGACGAGAAGAGCTACCGCTTTTGTGCTCCTGATGAAGAGTCGCTGGTGCTCTGTCTGGGCGCCTTCAAGAGTCTCCTTGCCAAACGGCGAGAGCTAGAGGCACGAGCAGCCGCAAATGCAAGCCATGCGACTGCGATACCGGCACCAGTGACCACTGTGTAAACTGCACACCGCGTCTTCTGCAATTCACTTTTGATTCTACCTTCTGCTACCCAAGTGTGGGTGTCCTACCACGGGTAGGCGCCATTGTAGGCCATGAGGCCATGTATACTGCTGTATAATCTCTTTTACGACACGACGTATGAATCCCCACGATGTAAGACTGGAAGCACGTCAATTGCGCGACCCAGCTTGCTACCCTGTTTATTTTGTCAGTTCGAGCCAATTGATAGTGTTCCCTAAGCCTCAGACGGCCTTGGAAGACAATCTTTGTACATAGAAAACCATAGGGGTCTTCCTCACTTGTCATTGACATTTGGCCCTCCCACTCCCGTGGAATCCAATGCGATTCAGATTGACTCTTCTTGAACGGGGCTCTCTCCCAATCCACAATGATAGTTGGTATGTGGTCGATGACCACCTGCTCAATGGATACGACGATGCAACGACACCAAAACCCTTTGAATGCGATGTTCTTCTCGAGGCCCGTCCTTCTTGGGTGTAGCCGGTGTAGGCAGGCAGGCAGGTAGGTAGTAAATTGAACCACGTGTATGTGATATCTTCACAGCATACTTGTTGCATGTCTCTATCATTTCATTTCCAAATGAACTGTGTCAGACTTCCTTGTTGTCACTGACATCAAGTCAGCGTAAGTTGTGGCCATGGAATATTCCGTACAAATCAAAGTGCAGGTTGCTGTGTCACAGACCTGTGAGGAAAACCACTACACCACATAAGACATGTTGAAGCATGATGCTCGGTCATTAACGCGTGTCGTTGCTGGGAAAGCGTCGACCAGTGCATCCCTGTTCTAGACCACCAAGACCCAGTCCTGAACGTGCCGTGTCCCCCTGTCCCTCATGCCTAATTTGATAATCCAAAGAAAGCATCGTCGAACTGCACATCGTCCATGTTGTCGCCAGCATAAAACATATCGTCGAAGCTGCTGCCGTCCCCGTTATTGCCAAGGTTCATGTCAAGGTCCATGTTGCCACCGATGCCATCCAGATCGAATATGTCATTGTCCACGGCAGCCGTCGACTGCGGGTCGCCCGCCTTCTGGTCGCCTTGAATTTTAGGCGGTTCCGTAGTTGTCACGGCCGTGCTGGCGGTAGTGGCCACTGACTGCACAGGAGCTGTGACTGGCAGCAGGCCATCCAGGGTGGACATTTCAGCCGCTGCGGGCACACCAGACGTCGTACCCATGTCGGGCTGCGGTGCCACGTCCGCCGTTGGTTGGCTTTGCGAGTCCACAGACGGATCGAGACCGAAGGTGATGTCTGTAAAGTCAAACTCGGACCCGTTGCCCCCGCCGCCTTGGTTCTCTCCGCCGCTAAGGTCAAAGAGGTCATCCATCGGCGCCTCGGGGGCCGTCGACATGGAGGGCTCCGGTGCGACAGACGACGTTGCTGGAGTCTCTTCTGATTTAACAGGGATGCTATCCATCGGAGCCATCATGGCCTGTGGCACCGACGGCGTTGGTTCGCGCTTGATGTCCGCTTTCGGCTGTACGGGAGTCGGCATGCTGTCATTGCCGCCCATGTCAGGTATGGGCGCCATCGGCGCCATCGGCGGCGGTGCAGGACTTTCTTGCGCAGCAGAAAACGGAGTAGACTGGGTAGGTTCCTCCTTGAGCGGGGGTGAGGGCGGTGATTTCTGGGCAAGTTCAGGACTGGCGACAACCAGGGTGACCGAGGCTGGTGATGCGATCATGGGCGCAGGCGAAGCCTTGATCGCCTCTTCTGGCTGTGGCGCGCGGCGTTGTTGAAGACGGTCCAAGTCCCTCTGTAAAGCCCCTTTCGCTCTCATCTGCAGAGACTCGTCAGCAGGGCTGTATGGATGGATCGTGGTAAGGGAAAGGGTGGGCTTACGACTTCACTTTCTAGATCATTGAGCGCCCAGTGGAAATTCTCAATGGTTTCTGGCAGACGAGTCTGAAGCGATGCATGGATCTGAGAGACATTTGTCGATTCGGTTGCTTGGTCGATGCCTTGAGGGCCTTGCCAATCTGTATGATCTGGGTGACCAGGGTCAACATCACCTGAGTCGGGGGTTTGGAGGGAGAACGACTCACGACGTCGTTCAGCATGTATTGCAGCTGGTCAAGAGGGTCTTTCGGTTTATGTGACATGGTGCTTTGATGTATGACGACAGGAACGGCGGCGGGCCTGCTTCTTGTGATCGCGAAGTAAGTAAGATGGCAATTGCAAAAGCCAGCGTGAGGATGAATATGAGGGTTCGTCACTGGCATCCAACTGACACCCTACCGGCCTGGGTTGACTGATTGAGCTCTCCTTTCTCAACTGGGCAGTCCCACCTGGGGGTCCTGTGCACGGGCCAGCGACCATTATCTGGGCATACCAGCGTTTCAGCAAATCACTGGAGACCAGCACGTGATGGGGCGTAGACTTTCGATTCCTGGACGTCTTGCTGCCAAGGTCTCTGGTTCGTGATGCACGTCTTTCCTGGACCAAGTTCGACGCGCAGCGCGTACAGTCAGCCATATGAGTATCGCTGTATATTTCATGAATAAATAATCCGTCATGTGGTTCAAATTGTTAGGCGAGGCACACTCGGCTTATGTGTCTGCGACTCACACAATTAGACAGGCAGCTTGCATCCAGCCCATGAAAGCATATGAAGACGCCTATATATGATTGCCACGCACACAAGAACCAGGGCTTGTCTGCTTGCCGCTAATGCGCCCCAAGTCCATATCGATTACGCTTGCAGAACATCGATCTACACCAGGGATGTGCAAGCACCAGCCGAGGGCAGAACAGAAAGACCCCAGACAACCTACACAAACACTAGCAGGCGAGGATGCTGATTATCAGGATGTTGATGTCGCCGCAGTTTTGGTCTTATATACATGCTGAGAAGAAGAGGATCCTACTCTCTGCGGCCCAAGTCCATGGCATTGCTCTCGATGCTATCAATGTTCGATCCTGGTCTTATATCCGACAGAGCCATGGGTTTGGGAACCCCGAGCGGCTTTCGAGTAACACGTGATCAGCACTGCAAGAATTCAAATCTATGGAGCCTGCCAAGCTCAAGGCAGTCTTTTTTTTTAAAAGGTACTGACTGTACTGGACGTCGCATTACACGACATCATGACGAAGCTACCAAGTTCGGGTCCTGAGGAGCGCTATAATCTCATTTCGTGGTCCAGCTTGTACAAAACAGGTCCTCGCAACAACACGGTCGTGAACTCATTGGTCACATCAAGGTAAACGTGTATTATTGGTCCACATGTTGCAATGTGTATTGAATAATTGAGTGTAGGATTGTTATTGTGTGAGATGTCCGTGAACCTGGTACACCGTCCAACTTGACAGGTAAACAACAGGATCGTTTGACCGTAAGTAACATCGGACTAATGCTTTGTTCACCGGCTACTGCGATTAGAAACTTTCGACCTCCTTTCGTCGCCTTGATCCCCTTATAACGATGCACCACACCACAGTTCATCAAAGTGAGCGTTTGAAAGCACCACCTCAACGACACTCAATGCCGATGGCTTCTAAACGAACGAGCCAGAAAGCATGTTAGTCTACTCGACTCACGGCTGACTTGACGTGCATATTGATCAATGGGACAGCAACTGCCCTGTGCGATCATGCTGCCATTACCGTCCATCTCAGCCAATGTTTGCCTGTGTTGCCAACTCGATTACGAGGGAAAAGCGCCTCACATGTAATGCTATCATTGCTGGACCAAATGCATGCAGGAAGCATGCCGCGTTTGCTCTATTATCTTTTTTCTTTTTTTCTCGATAAGTCAATTATGGGATTGGACTGATCCAAGACTTTCTGAGACAGGTTTGTCGGTGAGACAGCTTTACCCGCCGTCAATCTTTATCTACCTTAGGTACCTGGGTACCTGGTCCTCAGGCACATGGGCATCTTCCCGTGCCCCGAAAACCCTACATTGCTCCCCACGCTAGGTACCTTACCTAGCCTGTGGCTTTTCAGGGTGGAATCCACATTCCTTCAACTCCGAAGAGCTGGAGTAGACAACAGCGCCATTGTGTACTTTGAACGTTCTGCGTCCACGTTGCCTTTCAACCAGGGGTCTCGCGAGTAGCTGTCATGTCGAAGCTTGCCATGCTGACTGGATCAGTGAGGCCAGGTCCCATGCCTGTGGCACCTTGACGCGCTGGAGGTTAGCCTCTGCTGCCTCTCAACGCCAACACACATCAGGCTAGCTCCCTCGCTTAGGCAGGCTCGCCACGGATACAATAGTGCTGTGGCTCCAGTCTACTTGCCTTCCTCGCCCTTATCACCCGAGGGGCGGAGTACCCTGAGCTCCCCTCACTAGCAGCGCTCATCTCACCTTGCTGCCCTGCCACTCTGTCTGCCTCTTGCTGTCCAAGTCTGGTCTCCACTCACCGTCCCATCATCCCCTCATTCAGATCCATTAAAGTTCCTCCTCCTCACGTCCCATTTGTCTTCTCTCCAACGTTCATCCAAAGAGCAATATCGGAGGGCAAAGCGCGTTACTACTCGTAGGAGGGCTTCTTCAGTCTTTTTCCTTTTTTTTCCTCTCCCTCAGTCTCCGTCTCCGTCTCCGTCTCCGCCGTTCTCGTCCTCTCGTCAACGTCTGGTTTCTCATTCCTCGTCCCTTTACGGCCCACCGCATCTTCCTCAGCGTGCGCAGTCTCACGTCCTACGTCTCGGCCTGTCTTGCTCCAACGTTGCCGCCTTTCGTCCCGTTTCGTAGCGCTCGACCCTTCCGGTACTTTCCCCCGCCTTCATCCGCCGACCGTCTCGACAGCAAGTCGCCGAAGCTCCTAGCCTTTGCGAACCAAGCTTGCGAGACATTCGCTTCGTTCGACCGCCGCAGCATTCGGAACTCATTTTTGGCCGTCGACCAACCTCGCCGCAGTCGGGACAATCCAGTTCTCGGGCGAACCACCAATCACCTCGGCGCAACTCTCTCTAATTCAGATACTGCAGACTTGCCGCCATCGCGACCAATCTTCCAATGGCCGACAACGGGACCAATGCAGCTCAGCTGCCTCCCCCTCCTCAGTCCAACCAGGGCGCACCTGGCTATGAAAATGGCCAGAAGCCTCCCCCTCCCCTGCACATCCCGCAGAACAACAATCCCATCCCGACAGCCATCACCTCACCTTTGTCTGGCGTTGACCAGGCTCTTTCGCCTGGCAGCGCTGGAGGCTTTGGCCGCCGTGCTGCTCCGGAGCCCAACAAGCGTGCCCTCTACATCCGGGGGCCTCGACCAGCGCGTAACGGAAGATGTCCTGCGGCAGATATTCGAGACGACTGGCCATGTCCAGAACGTCAAGATCATCCCCGACAAGAACGTAAGCTTCACTTCTCGTGTCTTGGCACACGACGCGCAGCTGACACGATTTTTCAGCAAAAGGGCTACAACTACGGTTTCGTCGAGTACGACGATCCTGGTGCGGCCGAGCGCGCTATGCAGACCTTGAACGGACGTCGTGTTCACCAATCTGTACGGCTTCCGAGAACATGATTACCCCCAGCTCGCCCACTGACATGTCACAGGAAATCCGCGTCAACTGGGCTTACCAGTCCAACACAACGAGCAAGGAGGACACCTCGAACCACTTCCACATCTTCGTGGGCGACTTGTCGAATGAGGTCAATGACGAGATTCTTTCTCAAGCCTTTGCTGCCTTCGGATCCGTCTCTGAGGCTCGTGTCATGTGGGATATGAAAACTGGCCGATCCCGGGGTTACGGATTTGTCGCCTTCCGGGACCGCCCTGATGCGGAGAAGGCTCTGAGCTCCATGGATGGCGAATGGCTGGGTTCCCGCGCTATCCGCTGCAACTGGGCGAACCAGAAGGGCCAGCCCTCGATTGCCCAGCAGCAGGCCATGCAGGCCATGGGCATGACCCCGACGACCCCTTTCGGTCACCACCAGTTCCCCGCGCATGGGATGGCCTCCTACGAGGTCATTCTGGCTCAGACCCCGAACTGGCAGACGACCGTCTACGTTGGCAACCTCACTCCTTACACTACCCCTAACGACGTTGTACCGCTCTTCCAAAATTTCGGCTTCGTCGTCGAGTCTCGTTTCCAGGCAGACCGTGGATTCGCTTTCATCAAAATGGAGAGCCACGAGGCTGCCGCTATGGCCATTTGCCAGATGAACGGCTACAACGTCAATGGCCGGCCCCTGAAATGCAGCGTATGTACACACCCTCCTGTCTCGCTCCCGCTATTTCCTTTGCGCCCAGAAGTCACGACGTGCAAAAAAGCTGACGCAGTTATAGTGGGGCAAGGATAAGACACCCAACGCCGCGGGTGGCTTCGACCCTGCTCAGCAGGGCTACAGCCCGCAGAGCGCCACTGCTCCTGGTGCCTACCCCGGAACGCCCACTGCGTACTTCCCGCAATACGGTGGTAAGCAGAGTATTTCGTCCGTCTCGAGTGTTTTTAAAACTAATGATCGCATGTTTGTAGCGCAATACAGCGGTCAGCCTGGTAACTACGGAGGACCGGCTGCTCAGTCACCGGCCGGCTACGGAGCTCAACCCATGGCATACGGTGGACCCCAGAGTGCAGGTGGCTACGGCCGTGGGCAGCAGCCCCCCAGCGGCCAGTGGCAGCAAGGACCTCAGGGTCAGGCTTTCAACAACGGCTACGGCGGTTACCAAGGTTAATGCGAAATCGACTTGTTGCTGTCATTTCGATTCGCCGCGGCAGCCTTTCAATATGGGCGGAGGATGACCACTGGGGCCTCTGTCCTCCAAGACGTTGACCCCTGAGGTACACCGCCAACCCCTTTCTGCGTGGGCATATGCCGTTGCCAGGAAAGACATGTGTATGTCGATGAATCATGACGACGATCATGCTGGTCGTGCGCGACGGCGGGATAAGGAGATGAAAGTGACGGCGGGGTCGTTTGCTTCCATCGCACGGTGGTGGATTTTCAGTTCTTTCTCATGGACCTGTCCCGTCTTGCTCTCTGGTTCTCTGTCTTCGTCTTCGTCTCTGGCTTTATCTCTTCCTTGTCGTCTTGCCGTGATTCACTCTGCCAAATGCATGTTTCCATTCCCCTACTCTGTCACGCGTGGCTTCAAAATTTCGAGTTCATTCGGTCTCCTCTCCCATTTCTGTCACACAAGAAACGCATTCAT